GTGTATATACATGCCCATAAAAATATATAATTAATATTATTTTGCGGCGCAATAAAAAAAACTTGTTTGTCTTATATTTATATCTATCAGTATGTACACAACTTAACACCGGCTATTTTAAAGTACTTATTGGATGCTCTGGAGCGCTATAATTTTTATAATTTTCAAGCATTATGTGGAAAAACATTTTAAAACAGTAATATATAAACAAGAATACAATATATTACTTAAACTCTTATATTATATGTCATTATATTTTTTAATATGTGGAATTCATCTTTGCAGCCATGGCCTTCATAGGAATTTTATTTTCTCGTAGAACTATAGCATAGTTAATACGATCTTAGCCGTTGGGTATATCAATATTTTTCGTATTTTCCTCATTTTGTATATTGCATTTGATAATTTATTATGGAAGGTTCGTAAACTCTCCAAGAATTCTTTCGCATAGGAACCTGATGAGTTTCTTGCTTGACTATTTTAATAAACCGTTAATATATAACAAAGGTTGATATCGGTATTTTATTATTTTTGGTAGTTATCAGTCATTACGATTATAGTAATAAACATATTTTCTACCATCTCTCTCTGTCACTATCTAAAATTTACCAATTTTTTCCAATGTACGATCATTATTTGATTTTCCTACCTCAGCTGGGGAGTCCAAACGGTATTTTACCAGTTGCAGGAGTGTTGAATTTTTGCATAGCCCGGTAGTTTTTTTTTTATTTCACTAGTAGGAAGTGTTCTTTATAATCTCCTTATTGTTTCTAATTCCCCACTCTCTAGTATTACTGTCTATAGGTATGGACCATTTATTTTTCCTATTTTTTTCTTTCGTAGATTAGTGGTTATATTTTGTATTTTATCTAGCGGCCATGTTTCACACCCGTACACTAAATATAGGCCGCATAATAAGGATACGGTAGAGCACTTGAATCTTTTGACTTTTTGAAGTCATTCTTGAATTAACACTTAAATATAGTTTAAACTATAATACTACCATATTATATTTCCCGCTTCTATCCATGGTCGTTTTCAGTTTAAATCTTCAATTTACACTCGCTCTCTAGTGTCTTCTATAGATGAATGTGCAGAATGATAAATCATCATATAATAACAATACATATATTGTTTGTTCTATGAGTTCTTTCCGTTTTATAATTACGATCCAAGTATGAAATTACTCATTTTGACATATATATATATAATATATATACATTGTTGATGCTGCTCAGATATGTGGTACATATAATTTATATATTATATATTTATATGTAATATATATGTATATACTATATACCACACAGTAAAATACGTTTATTATAATACGGCATGTTTCATAATTTACGAACACATATAAATAAGATTCAAAAATATTTAAAAAAAGCTCCAGAATAAATTTTCAGTGCAGYTTTTCATAGAGAACTCTGTCCCATCAGTAGCATTTGATTCGCTCTTGACGTTGTCGACTCAATTCGTATTCTCGTCAACTTTTCCGCTTCAATTACAGAATGCTTCGGAGTCAATATTAATCTATTTTGGGTCTCACCAAATGGCGCTAAGTTAATTCATATCTAATACCTACTTCTGATAACTTCTATTTAATATTAAGTATACCCATGTCTCTAATTTTGATTAGTCCTTTCGGCTTTCAGTTTTCTTCTTAATTGTTTTTACGTTGAATTCTTCGGTCACATTGATTCTTTAGTTTCGTTTCATATTCACAGCTTCTTAATCTCCTCGCACCTTTATTATCGCTCCTCCATTTTTCAATTGTCTCATACTTGTGATCCTATCGTCTATGACGATCTGTTCAGCTCTGGGTTTTATTCTTTTTACCAGTTCTGAGAATGGCTGAGCCTAGGTTAATGCGCTCAACACACCAGTGTGGTTCAATTTGCGTGGTTTTTGGATTCCTTCACTTGAATCTCCTTGTCATCTTGTTGTAACAAGACTATGTGTTACAGAGCGTTTTCTTACCCGTAACCTGGGTAAACGTCTCTTGCATGTTCATAAGCGCAACGGGGGGAGGGGAACTCGAGAGGGTTAGACCCCCAAAATCGTTAGGTATAACTTCCCCTCCCAAAAAAAATTAATTTAATACTTCAATCGTTACTTAAAATATTGTTAAGCCTTTTATAAATGAACTGTAATTCTTATAAGTTATTTTATTTTTATTTTTAAGTTTCATCTGTGAGGAGGACAAACACATATTGACACTTCACCGTAAACCAAGATCGGGTTTTTTTTGTATAAATTTTAATATTTTCAATAAAAGATGATGTGGGGGGGGGTAATGCCTCTATGGGTTACTTTTTGGATAATATCAAGAGGGACTTAAGTCCCCTCCCCAACATTTTAGCCCTAGTTGCGCTACTGTACATGATGCTCATACCGACGGGTAATCTATGGCAATGATTAAGAGACCTTCACAGATGTGAGGCAACTCACAATAAAAATTATTTTCATATTTGAAACTTGTGAAAAACAAATAATTAGCAAATTCTGATATTAAGAATCTATTACAAGATAATTTTTTGGTAAACATTTTCWGGTTTATTTTATAACCAATTATTTTTTTTCTGATATAGAGCTAGAGAAGAATAATCTTTTATATATGTCTAAATATTGTATTTCTGGATAAAACTACAAAACACATAACCGACCACACAATTTTTAGTGTGCTATAATTCAGAAAATCAGATCCTGCCAACATATAATTTGTTAAATAACTTAACTGGATATTTGTACACCCTTTAAATTAATGATTTGTGTTCATATTTCACAATAGATTTCATATTAATTTGAAATTTCTTTATCTTATTCAAGAATTATATTTGATAGTTTTCTATGTTATTTTTTGGCTTATGTTTAGTAAAACTACAAAATATTATACATTTGCCATTTTATTTTCATCTATTGTTATTGAGCATATTAAGATAGGTAGATATAATAAGTTTGTTTGTCAATTGTAAAAAACGGAGAAATTGTTCTGCTATTTGATGGAATAGGTATCGAGAGTACCTCTTAACTGAGTAGGTCGCTGTAATTGTTGTTAAATTTGTAATCAATGATAAATCATTTTACCTATACAATGAAAAACAAATGAGCAGAGTAGGTCTGTTAGCATTATATATTTTTTCTAAAAGTGGTTTATTATTTATGTCTATTTATTTTGCTTTTCATTTTTCTATGAAGTATGTTGAACTAATTTTTGCTTGAAAATAATTACATACATTACATAATTATAATTATTATATTATTAGCCATTATTCACTAATAGGTTAATAGTAATATGTTGTATGACAATGTGAATAAGTTCTTGATATAAATAACTTAAAATTCTATTGTGAATAATAAATAAACATACGTATTTGCAAAAAAATTCAACACATATCATTGTAGAACTAATTCAATCACTCCGCTAGGAAACTAATATAAAAATTACATATCTGTATTTTACTTTAAAGAAATGTATCTAAAATTTATAAATAGCAATTCAAATAATATCTAAGTGTCTAGCAGCAATTATGTCATATAATTTTATTTGTGTTGATATTAAATTTATTTATGTATAATAATAATATGTTTAAAACATATTTTACATTTATTTGCAATTACCTACCTAACTCTTAATTATTATAGATTACCTATATTATTATTATTATTATTATTATTTTTTTTTTTTTGAGAAAAGTTAATTATTTGGCTAATAGCAATAAATAGTAATAATAAATAATTTAAACTCATTAGTAAAATTACAAATGAATTTGTCATGACACTAATAAATGTATTAATAATTATGACACATAAAAATGTTATTGTATCTGTTACTATAATTATAAAGCTTAAAATATTTTGTATTTAGGTATATGATAATAACTATATAATAGATGTAGTATAATAATTAAGTAAATAAATAAATAGTATTCCTTATACTGTGATAAGTATAGAATATTTTTAATATGCTCTTTTTATATACCATTGATTATAAATTAAAACTTCATAATGAACCATTGTATTATATCTTAAATGATAATATTATGAAAACAATGTTCTAAATTAAGCTTGGTTTAAGATTGTGTCTTAAAAAAAATATTGTATATAAAATTAATTATTATGTGTACAGTGAAGGTATCTCTTTTTTTAATTTATCCTATCCTAAATCTTAATACAATGTAATTGTCTCAATAGAATATTTATGTATTAATAAATAAAGTTTTATCAGGAGATATAATTATAGATTTATATAAAAATTTAAATCATTTTATATAGAAAAAAAATAGGTATATTAAAAGTCTATTGAATATTTTTGTCCAAAAATTGTACAGTTACCTGATCTATCGTGACATAGGATTTTAGACTTGTTTTTTGTTAAATTTACTGGTTGAACAAATTAAGCAATAAGAATTTAAAAAAAATTAATTTGAATTTTTCTTCAAGACTAGTTGAGAAAAATGTTGATAACTTTTTGATATTATTTTCTAAATTCCTAAAAATGTTTTACTAAAAAATATCAACTAAAAAATAGTTATATATCATGTCATATAGAATGAAAATCAAAAATTCAAATCTTTTTTTCAAAATTCTTATCGCTTCACTATATTAATCAATGCATTTTACAAAGAACACATCTTAAATCCTATATGTATAGTACACATGTGTTAGAGAGATAGAAAATCACAGTATTAAATCTTCTTAAAGTAACTAAGTTTATTTAGTTTACATAATCATTTAAAAGTTGCTCAAAAGTCAACAATATGGTCATCATTGACTGACAAGATGGTATAGAAGAAAATAAGGTAGTGCCAGAAAAAAAAAAACAATAAAAAGAAAAGTGGAATCAACAAATCCAAATATAAGTTTTTTAAGAAATGTTATGCTAACTGTTAGTGCCGATCTGATGACAACTGCTCATACCATATTGATTTTTAAATACTTTAATTTATATTAAACTAATTGCACCTTAATCTTAAATCATTTTATTCTAATTTCAGGTGAAAGTCTTGAAGAATTGAATGGGTATGGTACATAYAGGCCTCGCAATATCATATCATCAATTTTGGGTGGTACACCTAGCAAAGCAAAACATCTTTGGATATCAAACCCTCAGGATTTTCGACAGGTAAAATAAATTATTTGTCATGTTAAGAATTTTCAAATTTGTATGTAATAATTTTGATTTTAGGTGTCCGCAATTATAGATGTAGACGTAGTTCCAGATACATGTCGCCGAGTTCGACTACTTAAACATGGTTCAGAACGACCATTAGGTTTCTATATTAGAGATGGCACTAGTGTGCGAGTTAGTCCTTCTGGTGTGGAAAAGGTTCCTGGTATTTTTATTTCCAGATTAGTTCCAGGAGGCTTGGCAGAAAGTACTGGGCTTTTAGCTGTCAATGATGAGGTCTTAGAAGTTAATGGTATTGAAGTGGCCGGCAAAACTTTGGACCAGGTATATTCAAACATTTTAAACATCAATAAAGGAGATAAATTCAAAATAAAAATTATACTTAAAATCCATTCCAAAAATAGTTGCTAGCTTACATGTTTAGAATGTTCTTTGTTTTTTCCTTAAAAAATAATTAAAAGCTTAGAAACAATGTATTAAAACATTATTATTTGTGCCATATTATCAATGCCGCTTAAAACTTGCTAAGCTTTTTTACTGTGCCTAAAAGTGTTTTTTAGAGAGAAAAAATACTACCAATAAATCCTGATATATTCTATAGTATTATTAATATTCTTTGTTTATCATTAATCTAGGTAACAGATATGATGGTAGCTAATAGTCATAACTTGATTGTTACTGTAAAACCAGCTAATCAACGAACCACAATGTCAGCACCCCGGCGAGGTTCTTTATCAAGAACATCACAGTTATCTAGTGGATCACAACAATCAGCGCATAGTGCCGCTACCACAGTTAACACCTCTGAAGAAGATGACCAAGATGAAGTGGTAGATTTGACTGCAGGTTTAGCTTTACAAGTAGCAAATGAGTCTACTAGTACTGCAGACCCATAGGAATAAAAGGTACTTGTCACTTTTTCTCAAGAAATTAACCAAGTGTCTAAAAAATAAATGAGCTTATGATGAGCTTGTTAAATTAATAGGACAATAGCATTCCAAATAAATTAAATAATAAAGAGTTAGTTTTATTTATGATGTTAGATCATTTGTCTTCCACTTCATGTTTTAAAATGTTTAATAGTCATAGTGTAGTATATGTGTTTTATAAAATAGTTAAACTCAAACAATTAATACTAACAAATTATTACAGGGTGACATTCAATTTAATACTGCTCTAAGCTAGATAGATTCTATTAACTGAAATATTTCATAGCTCAAATTATACATTAAAAAAAATCTTTGTGGATGTTTGTTTTRTGCTAACAATTTAAAATTAACATTTGAACCAATTTTTTTCTGGTAAAAACCATTTTATTAAATAAAGTTACTACATTTCTGTTGTTAATAATATAAAAATCCCCTAGTTCAACAATTTTTTCTTTTCCTTCTGATCTCAAAAACAAATTTCATAACACTCACTTTTATGAAATGATACGTATTCAAAAAAAAAAATCAGTTTATAACCTTATCATTCCAATATTTCATAATAAATATTACATAGACTGAAAATAGACAAATTTCCTCTTAGTAAATATTTTTTTTTATCTCCTAAATCTGAGCTAATATAATTATTTCTTCATTAAAAAAAATAGTCAATTTTTGTCAATATATGTACATTTAGTGACTGGTTTTGTGATATTATTACACACTATTTTATAACTTACATGTACTCAACATATTAGTATATTTAATATACTTGTAGTTTACCACTATAGGTCAAATACTGACTAAAAAAATTTAAATAATTTTTGATAAAATTGATTTGTATTATTTCTTACAATCTAAACTAATTAAAGTTTGCAAACAGATATCCGTCCATTATAGATAAATATTCAGTTCAACTTAATAAACATGTAAGGCGATGACCAATTTTTATCAGAGGTTGGTCAAGCCATAAGGGTTTGTACTCATACTGATACAACCATTTGTGGAGCTATYGTGTAAGTTTTGATGTTGGTGAGCACAATTGGCTGCCGAGCATGTTTCTTAAGTTGAACAGAGTATAGATATATTTTTTTTAAATGTTAAATGTACTTCCTGTATACGTCATTTTGTGTTGATCATCATTATTACATAGTATTATTATTGTCATTATCATTATTATTGTCATTATTATTATTATTATTATTATTATTATTATTACTTTTATTATTATTATTATTATTATTATTATTATTATTATTATTATTATTGGAATTATAAATATTACATGTTAGGGCCAGTTGTACCATCTCCGATTAAACCGGAGCTTAATTAGCTGAATTTGCCCGGTTAAATATCTGCTATCAGCTGATTAAGCATAATTGAAGTTTAACCGTAGATGGTACAACTGGCCCTTAGTGTCCAAAAAAACTGATAAACTATCACACACATAAAAACTACCAAATAATTTTATATTTTTAATCATTGTTAATGTTTTATTCTTTGTAATAAATATTAATAATATAGTTTAATATTTTTATATTAACTAAAAATCTAAACAAATGAACATAAATATTTGTTTAGTAAAACATTTTTGAAAAATAAATATACTGTATTGATAAAATATATTTTGAATGTGAACATACCAAATTTACAAATATATTATGTTTGTATAAAAATAACTATTCTATTAATAATGTCCATTAAAAATAAATAGTTGTGCAGAATTAAATATAATACAATTTGTTTATAAATCATAAACCTGTTTTAAATAATTTATTTTAATTATTATATTAATTTCAATTAGTATCATAGATAAGCAAAACATTTAATTCATTAGTAATGACTAAGTAAAATCAATATTGTTAAATTATTATTTCTTGATAGACTATTAACAAATTTTGTAAATAGTTGTTGATAAGGTTTTTATAATTAAAGTTCCTTAAAACAGTATAACAAAAATTATTTCAATATTAATCACATATTATTTTTATTAATTTTACTGATTTAATAAGATTAGTAGCAAATGCATTTAAAACATTTTGTTTAAAACTAAATTAATAATATTATAGATTAGTTAAATAAAAACTCATAATAGACATTTTATTATTATTACATTTTGTAGCTTAACAATTTCATTTTGTTACTGTATGTACTAATGAAAATTATGTTTCTTAATTCACATATTGAAGTGCAAATTAATTTTATTATCCCTACAACTATGTAACAAATAAAATAATATTAATATATCATACATCATTATTATTGTATAATATTGTTTGTTATACCTAGTCTGTATTTAAATTATAATAGAAAGTAAAAAATTATTTTATCATACACATTTAAACAATATAAAATTTAAGAAAAATATTAGGTTTGTAATATTTGTCTTAAATATTTTATTTATAATAATTAATAGTTATATTGTGTGCAATAGTTATATTTTTCCATCTTAACTTTTATTAAAATTAMATAAGGAATATCATTATGTATTTAATTGGTATCAATAAATCTGTATAAAACATTATTTTATATTTAAGGTATACAAAAATCTATTTTTCTAAGTGTAATAAGTAATTCATTTTTATTACCGATTTTATGTATTATGTGTATTATTGTTTATTTTTATTAATTAATTAATAATTGAATATTTTCAATGTTCTTATTATTGTATTTGATTTTTGATTTATTATTATTTTTGGAGCGTTTATTGCCCAATATTCTTATATTTGTATTTTGTATTCAATTATTTAAAAATAAATCCACTTAGACTGCAACTTATATGAGCTTCTCACAACTGAAACAAAAAATTCTCCCTAAACAATGGATTTATTTTAACTTTAATTCCTTATTACAAACTTTTCTCAAGACATCTAAATCTTAATTACAATATATTAAGGTAACCGTATTAATTAAGACGTTTCTCAAACCCATATAACCCTACATAATCCAGCTCTGAAGTTCAGTCAAATCATCCAACATGAACTGTATCCAAATCTTCCAGACCAACGGTTTTCATTAAATTCCCATATGTTATATATCTAACCATGCATTTCTATTCTTTTTGTCCAAAAAATGGCCAACCTTCTTTAATAAAATATTTAATTTCTGTCAACAAAACCTACACAATTTACTTGTGTACTGGACTATTAACTCCCTACATTCCTGATGACCCTGTAAGGCACTTAAACATATATGGTGCTTTGATTACTAGTTGAATAAATCAACTGGATTTCAATCTCTGTTACATTAATACAACAAAAATTTACAAGGAAAGTTTAAAATTTGTAAGTCATTATTTTCTTAGGTAGAGAGAAAAAATAGTAGACCAACCTTAAGTAACCCACCTCTTCATACCCATATGTTCAGAAATGATATTTGTTTGCTCATAATTGGCAAGTAATTTATTGCTAGACCATTAAAAAAATATCATCTATCAGGTGGATAGCACTTTATAAATTATAACTAATAATCAATGTACACCTATATTATATTGTAAGTATTTACAAATAAGTAAGTAGAACTGTATTTTATATTTATATATGATGATGTTGTTTGGCTGACACAGCTGTTTTTCATATTTAATGATTTTGTCTCATTAGATTACAGTGATCTTCATTTTTTTTTCATTTATAACAACCACATCTATCTTTGCAATTTAATCCACGGCTACCAAAAGTTGTTTTTCTTGAAACTCACGAAGAGGATTATCCAGACTCATAATCATGCTAAAATGTATCCGTAAACATTAATTAATTAACTTTATAATATTGTAAAAGCATTGTAAAAATACTTTGTTGTATTGAAACAATTATATTAATAAATTTTAAAAAAATCTTTGCTATTTTCAAATAGTAAATACCTAACTTGCAAATTGTTGATTAAGGTTAACTCAAGTTATTAAATTATAAATGATCCATCAAGCTTAAAAAACTCACACTGGTTGACTTGCAGGTATTTAATGGACTTTCAGTACCCATTGCCAACTATAACTTGCAATAAGAATTTCTTATAGTATGGTAACTTGCATAGGCGGAACTAGAACATTTTATTAGGATAGGGCAAATGATAAAATATTTGAAAAAAAAATTGAATCATAAAATATGCGTTTGATTTAAATTGTATTAAGTCAGTATGTTATCCAGTGAGTCTTAGCCTTTTAAGGCCTAGCCCTGACCCTGACTGACCTAACCTGTAGTAACGATTTTAAATTGTACCTAGTCTCTTAAATCGTGCCCATAGTTTCAACAATGGTAACTACTAACTTTTAAGGATTAAGGAATCGATATCGAATGACGACAGTAACCAATCTTTATGATAGATTTTGATAAGCAGAACGGTAATTTTAGATATATATAAAATCTCAATGCAAACTATGCAGATGTCTTAAAAAATACGAACCAAAATGACACCCCCAAATATAATAATTATACTGCTACTAACATCAATGATTTAATAAAACATTATTCACTCTTCATATCAGATCTTAAATCAGTTATCAACCCCCTAATATCACTACTAACTACAGTTATTAACAAAATCATCCTAAAAAATTACTAACAATCAACCAAATGAATCTTCTCCGCTAAAAATCTTACTATGGAATGCAAATGGTCTTCCAAAACACAAAAATGAACTTCAAACCGTATTTAATGATTTAAAAATAGATATTGCACTAATAACAGAAACCCATTTCACTGAAACAACCAAATTTAGTATCTTCAATTACACCCTTTATAAAACAAATCATCCCGATGGAACAGCACATGCAGGTTCCTGTATTTTAGTATCCAACTCCATCCAACATAATATATTAACTTCTTTCCAAGAGTCCTCTATTCAAGCAACTAGTATTTTAATAAAAATAAATAGTATTCCAATAACCGTATCTTCTATATATTGCACACCTCGTCATGCCATCCAACGCGACACATTCCTCCGTCTCTTCAATACTCAAGGCCATCATTTCATAGCARGGGGTGACTTCAATGCTAAGCACTCCCAATGGGGCTATATCTCCGATAACCAAAGAGGAAAAACACTCCTCTCTGTCTTTAATAATTGTAATCTGTCGTTTTTGTTCCCACTTGGATCCACCTACTGGCCCTCACATTCAAATTGTAACCCAGATATACTCGACTTCTTCATTACAAATATCCCAAACCATCTTAATACAGATATCAGTAATATCTGCCATATCTCCAATGACCCACCCCCGTAATTCTTTCAATTGGTGGATCACCTAAACAAAATGATCGGCCCTCACTCACCAAAGGACCCATCGCCTGAGATTTATTCAAAACAAATCTTGACAATTTAATAGATCTTAGAGTTTCACTTAAAACACAAGATCAAGTCGAAAATGCAAAACAAAACTTGGTTGAAATTATAAAAAAACAGCTATTTCATCAAATAAACCTACCCCGTTAATTCACAACCCAAAAACACTCTCCCATTCAACTTACGACTCCTTTTAAACAAAAAAAGAAATGCGAGACCTACATGACAAAATTCTTGTCTCCCCAGCGACAAAAAAATATTCAATCACCTATCAAATCTTCTAAAAAAAGAACTTATCAAGCACAAAGCCATACAGTACGAGAGTTATATCAACTCTTTAGAACCCACTCCCAAATCTTTATGGAGAGCCACAAAAAAATTAACTAAAATCCGAGAAATCATTCCACTTCTCCTCACAAGTAATAATTTGCTAGTGACAACAGACGAAGAAAAATCCTTTATTTTTTCCGAACATCTAGCTAATACATTCAAGCCCCACCAAGACATTTTTCCGAATCCTGAACACTTGAGCCAAGTTAATCAGTTTATCTCTTCCCCCCTACCAATGTCTCCTCCTACAAAACCAATTTCACCCAATGAAATTTTTTGTCTTATCAAGAAATTACCTGCACGTAAAGCACCTGGGCATGATCTAATCACAAACGAAGTTTTAAAAAATCTGTCAAAAAAATGTATCCTCTCATTAACACATATTTACAACTCAATGCTGCGGCTTTCCTATTTTCCCACCATCTGGAAACATGCGGTCGTAATCGTTATACCAAAAGCAGGGAAACCAAAAAACTTAGCCTCACCATATAGACCTATCAGTCTCTTACCAACGCTTGGCAAATTGTTCGAAAAATTGATTCTTCTCCGAATCCGACCTATCCTACACGAGCATCAAATCATACCTACCACCCAGTTTGGTTTTCGGCCAGGACATTCCACTATACACCAAGTCCATCGGCTTACTGACTCAATTGCCTCTGCCTCAGAAAGAAGGCAATATTGTGCTGGACTCCTGGATGTTTCCCAGGCCTTTGATAAGGTCTTGCACGACGGGCTACTATTTAAATTGAAAAAATGCATGCCAACTCAATTATTCTTAGTTATAAAATCTTTTCTAGAAAATCGAAGTTTCACTGTTAGACAAGGAAACTTCTTTTCGCCCCGATTCAACATCACTGCAGGAGTGCCCCAAGGTAGCAATCTAGCGCCTGACCTTTATAATATTTACACTGCCGATATTCCACAAACTCCCAACACACTATTAGCCACCTTTGCCGACGACACAGCSTTATTGTCCACAAGCKATGATATTTCTATAGCTGCACACAATCTACAACATCATACTAGCCTAATTGAAGCCTGGTGTAAAARCTGGTTGATTAAAATAAATGAAAGCAAGTCAACTCAAGTCAACTTTTACCCTTCGCCGTTGCAACTGTCCCTTAATTAAATTAAACAACGTGAATATTCCTGTCAGTAATGAAACCAAATATCTCGGCATAATACTTGACAAACGCCTAACTTGGGGCCCTCAACTAAAAAATAAAATAAAAATAGCGAATAGCAGACTCCACCTTTTTCGGCCTCTCCTAAAATCCAAACTAAAACTTATAATACTATTATACAAAACCGTTATCAGACCACTATGGTCCTATGGTATTCAAGTTTGGGGGCCAGCCAAACCTTCAAACATCCGCCCTATCCAGTCATTTCAAAATATAACCCTTCGAATCATCACTGGTGCTCCCTGGTACGTAACGAATGAATCTATTCATAATGACTTACAAATCGAAACTGTAAGTAAACTTTCAAAACGTCACTATAWATCTTTTTACATAAAACGATAAAACTGCCATCGAACATTAGTCACCTAATTCGAAAAATGTCCTCAAAATCTTATCCCTGACCAACCTCCACGTAGACTGAAAAGAAAATGGAATCGTGACCTACTACTCAGAAAAAAAAAAACAACATCAACGATATAATCATCCTTGTTACACCTAGATAATATATAATATAATATAATAAAACCTAAATATTTGTGTGAGAGGTATTACCAGTGGGTGACTTCCCCTATCATGTGAATCATGTTATGTTCATTTCTAATTGTTATCATTATAGGCGCAATTTCAATAAAAAAAAAACTAAGGGTGCTTATGCTATGCATTTTCATATTAGTTTTTTTGAAAGAAGTTTTTGATACATAAGCACGATCATTATTTGAGGGTGCTAATTTTAAAATTGGGGATGCTAATACCTTCTAAGCCCCCCCCTATTTGCGCCTATGGTTATCATGACTTATTGAACAGATTATATTGTGTATAGATTGTCTTTTTAAAAAATAAAAAGCAAAAAAAATATATATATATATAAAGGCGCAACTAAAGGGAGGGGGTGCTCTGGGTCTTTACTGTCGCCTTAGTTGAAATTAACACCTAAAACTTGTTTAAAAAATTAGGTCCTATAAAGCCACAAGAAATCCGGAGGTTAAGCAACCCCTCCACCATAATTGAAATGTCTAGTTGCCCCGATGGATATGGGTAAAATAGGTTTATCGTGGTTGGAGATGAACAATAATAAATTGGTTGTGGGATTAAAATTTCTCAGAACAAATGTAGGTATATTTTGAATAATAATCCAATTTGGAAAAATTGATTAACGCATGCCAAYTATAGTCAGCAATGCTACTTACTACTTTAGTAGTTACCTTACTAGTTACTAGTTAGTMGCAAATACAATAGATTAATCTATAGTATTTGTTAGTAGTTACTATAGCCATTAATTATAGGATATTCTWTAATCAATGCTTTAGCTCGTGTCAGCAGTCAGCCTCAGCACCTATCTATTTTGCATTTTTATGGCATAAAATTGTATTAAATTCTAATTGGCCAATGGCCACTATCAGCTGAGTGATATCTTATCTATAAACTTTGTGCTTAAAATTGGACTACTGGAGCATTAATTGGAATTCGTRAAATACTGAACCGTGAGTTACGACCGTTATGTCTACTGTCTAGGCAATTTTAAGTCTTTATAGAATATTTACTTATTACTCGGCAGGTACTGACTACTGAGTAATCGTTTATTGATCAATTGTGATTTGTGACGAATCACGAGTTTTATGCATTTCAGTGGTTGTAAATACCGTAGTCTAATATCGATTAAACGAATATTTTGTCGTTTCTTTAAAATGCCAATTTACGCTGTAATTTTCAAGACTTCGAAAACCGGTGCAATAGCCGAAAACTGGTAAATTAAACTTAATACTTGAATATGCACATTTCATTGAAGAAATGATAGATTGTATTTGTCATAACGAATTGCTTACCTTTTCAATTTACATTTTGTTTTGTTACAGTTCAATATTAATTAGTAATTATTGTAATATTGATTTTTAGGGAGAGGGCTCGTGGTTTGAGAGATGCTACTCCTAATTCATATGCCAAAAAATTTGATATTAAAATAGAGGCTGAAAAATATATTAAAGATTTAAAATTCCAGATTGTGCAAAAAACACATAACACTAATGATCATTTCAAAGGTGTGAAAAGAAAAAGATCCGAGAATTCATATACTCCTATGARTTTAGTGAAAGATCACATAAGAAAAGTATTTTCCGCATTTTACTTAAATACCTATATTAATAAAAAATAGTTGCTAAGTTTTGGCTTTTTCTTTAGATTAAGATGGCATTTAATGATTTGCAAGTTGCTGTATCATCAATTTCAGGATTTTCTGTGACCTGTATTGACCAATTGAAGATTTTAGACGGTGAAGTTATTGGTAAACTTCATGAGATATTGCATGTGAATAAAACTGAATTCGAAGAAGATTTTTCCTTAAATGGAACAAAAAGGTATGTTTTCTGTTTGGTATCTTATAGAAGAAAAAATTTATATTTTATAAGAATGATTTATATTCTGAGCAGAGCAATGAATGTATTGATTGTACAATGATGTAGTTTTTTTTGTATATGCGTGTACACGATAAGTAGTAAATAATACTTCAGTAGCTTTTTCAATATTTTCAAGTGCCATGAAAAGCAAAAAAAAAAAAAAAAATAAGAAAAACTGGGAACTTTTACACTAAATCAGTTTTGAATTTAGGTGTAATTGTAATTTTCAAACAAACAACCGTAGATACATGAAATTTTCACTAAATGTTTATATTAGCATTTGCTATACACTATATAATTTTCAAAATATTATAAGCTGTTAAAGGACACTCAGTTTTCATTTTTTTAGTTTTTTTTTCTATAAATGTCAAAAAAAAAATATATTTGTTTTTTYTTCATAATTTATATATTGTCTTATACACTAACTGAAGTACTATTCTCTTTCCTAAATTGTTAAAATTCATAAAATTTTTGTATTTTTTTAATATTTCCTTAGTATGYTGTTAAATAGCAACCTGACATTTTCTGATGAAAAAGAACTGTGTTCTTCAAATATTGATTCTATTGATGATACCGACCTACTCCTATCCGATCTAGAATCAGCAAGTAATTATGACTGTTTTTAATAAATGCAACATAATATAAATAAATAGTTGTTCGCTTATTTTAAAACATGTATGTTAAATTTTATTACAGTAAATAAATAAATAATTATCAAAACTTAATAAATTATTTTATGTATAGGTGGTTTAAAAGACTACATATAAATACTATTTATATTTTAGAAAAATCTTTCACATTTAATGAAAAAAATGAAGTTGTTGTTTATACGGATGGCGCTTGTTCAAACAATGGCTATAAAGGAGCATCTGCTGGGGCTGGAGTATGGTTTGGAAATCATCATCCTCTGTTAGTATTTTTTTATGATAAATCATCTTTTAGTTTGGAATTGATATTTATACTTATATTAGGAATTTATCAATAAAAGTACCTGGAACACAAACTAACAACAACGCAGAGATATTTTCTACTATTAAAGCAATTGAACGTGTTAATTCTACTGGTAATTTCTGTGTATGTTGTTTAATTTAAACATTATTTTTGCAAATTTCTCAACAGTATTAATGCATGTTTAGGTCTCACTAGAATAAGTATACATACAGATTCAGATTTTGTCATTAAAAGTGTAAATGAATGGATGCCACGTTGGCTGGCTAAAGGATGGAAAACCAGTGCAGGGGCCGATGTAAAAAACAAAGAAATGTTTATGTTATTAAATAAAAGAATCCAATCAATGGATTCTGTTAGCTGGGTAATATAATTTCAATTTTCTTTAAATTTTGTTTTAAGTTAATTAAAGTTTTTTTTTTAGATATATGTTCCTGGCCATAAAGGCATTACTGGTAATGAAGAAGCCGATAAGTTAGCCAGGATAGGGGCCAAGATGTAAGGGGGATATTTTTAAAACTTCACGTTTGTTATTTACTGATTAAATTTATATGCGTTTCTTATTTCAAATTAACGAGGAAAAAATGTGATATTATATGTTATGTAAATTTTAAATCCATTTATTCATTTAACAGCAATTACGTCAGAAACGCAAGATTTAGTTGATGTATGTATATTTTAAACAATAAAGCCAACATTTTATACTTAAAAGAATGAGAATGTATCATTTCTAATATCAGAACAAAATACATTTCTATACCCAAACATTTTTTAATACGTAATTTGAATTGGTATTATTAATTTGAGTTTTGTGTGAATAAATCAATAAAATAAATCTAAATGATACATTTTTAAATGTATGTATAAATATTAAAATTAAGTTACCAATGTTATAAAATTTAATAGTTAACATTTATTTTTATAATGTAATTTTAATGATTAAATTATAACGTCACAAAAGTCTATAAAGTACCCATCTCTATTGAAGTCCATAAGCATTTGTATTTTTAAATACTTAGACTTTGCAAGATTCAAATAAACTTGGAAACAATTTCTAAGTATATTTCATGACTAAGGCCTAGACTTATATACACTAAAAATGTACAAAATATGCATGCATATATGCATTGATTTTCCTTAAAATATGCATTAACACTTTCAAGGCAGACCGTCATAATCTAAAAGTTATGTTTTCACTATTATTATCATTTAACAATCTATCGATAGGAGATGTTGTATTGATTATTTACATTAAATAATTAAATAATTTGCATCATGAGGAGCGTAACTGGAATTTGATTCTACTGCCTATTGGCTGTTAATAATAGATAGATTTAAAAACTGCTCGTCTCCAAGGGGAAAAATAAGCGGAAATGTTCCTTCTTAATTGTACATAGTTGTACAACGTGTCTCGCTCATGGTTYGTCTCCAATGTGTGAACAAAAATTTATTTTAATTAAATTTATTTAGTTTAAAAATGTATATAATTCATTTAATAATTAATATGAAACAAAAAAAATGTATTAAATGCCTATTTGATATAATTTAATTGTATTTTGTATGATGTGTTCAATTGAATGTTGCATTTTGAACAATCACTCATCTAAATTAAAATTCATGAGCAAAAATCAATTTAAAAAAAATTAGTTTATTATTATAGTACAATATTTCAAAGTTATCTGGAGAGTTACAGTTAATTATTAAAGACTTGGATACATTTTTAAATAAAAATGCACGTGATTTTTAGCAAATCTAGGTTTTCAGGTTCACAGGTTTTACATAGGACATATCATTAAGCATTAGTATTAATAACAATACTTCTTTTTTATAAATATAGATTTTATTGAGAAAATGCTAAAATATACATAAAAATTAAAAATGTTCCAAATATGCAACAATTAATTTTGCACATTATGTTAAGATCCAAATTTGTGTCTTATCTAGCTACTTTTTAATTTAATAAATAGGTATGATCAAAACTTTGTGTTATGCTTACCACTCTARCATCATCTATCATGAGGCTCTCTCCGTTTCTATTAASATTGATATATGTGCAAACTGGACGAAAACTGCTTTTTTGTTATCTATTATTTAGTCATGGTATATTTTATATCCTTCTTTTAAGATGTGGAAGTTGACACTTTCAGGCYTAGGTGCCAGTGTTGATACACTATTGTGGTTTTTAGTATATTCACAGTTTATGAACTAACATCATATGTTTTAAATTCTGAACAGCAGAGTGGTATGAATGTATTATTTACAATGGCATTTGTTTTGCAAATTATTTTTTTGTTAGACAGTCATCACTTTTTGAGACAATAAAAATGCTTTGTTTCAACACATTTTCTGACAGTAAAGTAAATCGAGTTGGTACTTAGGGGTACATAAATTAAAATTTCTTAGTAGTTTTCAAAAGTAACTAGTTGAGCTAYTTATAGGCATAAGAAAATTTTGATTTTAAACAGTTTCCAATTTCTTGAACGGATTTTAAACTGTTCAAGTTAAATTTAATCATGATATAAACAACACGGACACACGGTATGATCACAACTTATTGACAGTCAGAGCATTCGGTAGGGGCATAGTAGCATATAGTAATAATTTAATAACTATGACAATATGGGTAAGCAAGTGACGTGCACTTGAACTGAATAATTATGAATTTTGCGATCATACTAAATTGTTTATATCACGATTCAAGAGTTACCAATATAATACTCGTATTAATTAATACATAATGACATCATATTTTTATTTATTAATTAAATTGTATTTATTATCACAAGTGTTCAAAATAGAGGGAGRGCTTAATTAATTTTTTATTCTTTGTGATCAAACCTACTAGTTAATTTTTTTTAAAACAAGAGGATTCATACTTTCTATTTAGCATAAATTGTTTTTATAATACATTTTTACTACACAAAATTGTATCAAATACCATTGTGATTAAATCTGATAAGTGATAATTGTACAAAATTATTTTTATTGATTTAGTTGTGTAAAAAAATATCAATAACTAGCACTAACAAATAAGTGACAACCAAAGTTTTGAAATATATTTGAATTGAATTTAAAATAAATGAATAATGTTTTTATACTTGACATTCATTTTTTCATCAGCAGAAAATATAATATTACATGCTATTAACAGACTATTTTAAATGTAAGAATCATCAGTACAAACATTTATCTACCCAACATAAATCTTAGTATTATTGAGTACTATTTTAAACAAGATTTATTGAACAATTTAATTTTAAAGTTGTATCAAAATAATAAATAATAAAAATTTAGGTATATATATAATATATATATATAATATAAATTCATAATTTAATTTATCAATAATTTACTAAAGGTAATATTACACAGGTATAATTTTTTTATTATTCTTTAATTTTTCTAAACACACCATTGTTATCTAATTAAATTGGGTTTGGAAATAAAGTGCTTAATAATTATTACATAAATAAAAGAAAAAATCAAAGTCATAAATTAAAAACCTCCTCTAAAGTTACTATTAGGTTGAGGCGCTTGGAATCCGTAACTACCCGCATAACCAGGAGGTGGATTGCTCATATTAGGTATTTGAACAGGCGGTTGRGACACAAATGCTGGTTGATGCTGACTAGTTGGCTGGTGCTGCGTTACTTGACTATTATTGCTATCTCCCCATCTACTTGCTCTTTCACGACCCGGAGCAGTTCCATTGTTATTATTACTCATAATGCTATTAACAGGGTTAGCTCCTGTATACCCACTACGACCTCCCTGATTTCCACTTGAATAGTTATCGCGACTAGAACTATGACTTCCTCCAACATAACTACCTCGACTACCWCCTCTATATGAACCTCGACCACCACTACCATAGTTTCCACGACTACCACGGTCATGATAACCACGGCCTCGATTATTTTGTCCACCACGGTCACGGCTACGATTTGAACGGTCCACTAAAACAATTAGAACATATTATTTAATGAATCAAAGACTTCTAACTATTTAAAAGAACATACTTTTTCCAAACACTCCAGCAGCAGCCATTTCTGCAAGTTCAAAAAGCTTTGGATTGACAACTTGTTTAGCTTCTTGTAAGACAGATATGAGATCTTTGGCTTGGCGAGCATTGCTTGGGGTAACAAATGTGAATGCTGTTCCAGTACGACTAGAACGACCAGTTCTACCGATACGATGCACATAATCCTCAGATGAATTTGGGTAATCGAAATTTATCACATATTTGACATCATCCACATCTAATTAAAATTAAATATTCAACAATTAATACTTAACAAATCAAAATTATACAACAAAAGTTGTGTAATATAATGTAATTCATTAATATAAATAGTAGATCGAAATAAATTAAATAAGCAATATTAATAAATCTAAATAAATTAAATTCTAAGAAAATTTAAAGTTTATAAAATCATTCACTATTCACATACATTTTAATGAACATTTAGATCAATAAAATTGAGTATTAAGAGATAATATATTAAGATAGAGTATGCATTAGTATTCATATGCTTCACATAATTAATAAGTAAGTATTTAAAACTAATTATATCATTATGCATATTAAATGCTTTAAACTTTAAAAGTAATTTGTGTAGATAAATTATTAAAAGGAAAACTCAAGTCTAAATAATCAATGCAGTTAATGAATTCAAAACGATAAATTTAGAATCAATATAGATAACCTATGGAAATATACATACATGTTAAGTTTAACATTTTCACAAACAATTAATTAAATAAATAAATAAACAAATAATTACACTTTAAATTTGTTTAAAAATAAAAATATACTAGTGTCCTTAACCTACCCTTTGACAAGTACATTAAAATTCTACTATAAGTGACTTTAATGCCAAAAAAAAAAAATTAACTYATTAGAAACAATTTTTTTTGATTTGAGATTTCCTTTCTGTGTGCTGTTATTAAGAAGTGTATACAATTTAAATGRCAGAAGGATGGTCAGTGGTGTTTGGGGCACACTTCTGAATAAACAGCAGTAATCAAAAGTAGAACAGTACTCATAAGAATCATTAATTATATACTATACAAATAAAAAAGAAAAACATATATTGCAACCCTAATTTTATATTGAAAGCTTGTATTAAAAATTGTAATATTTATAGTATACATTTTTTAATTAATCACATCAATAAAAGAAACATCATCTTTCTAGTGAGTGATGGACTTGATTTGACTTTTATATATACTCTTGTTTTTAAGTAGAATACAATAAATAAATTTGTTCTGTGCACTTTTTTCTCCTTTCATAGATTCTAACCTAATTTCCATTATGTGGGAGATATATGCCACCAAACAAAAACAGGTTGTCTCCCATGTATTCTATTGTAAGAAAGCAGGTAAGTGAATGTCGCTCTGCTGTACATTAGGTGGTGGGGTGGACCTCTGACTAGGGTAGGTTAGATTTGAATGCAATGTAGGTATCATTGTATAAGAAAAACGATTCTGAACGGAGATGATTTGTCAGTCTATGATATATATTATAGATAATTAAAAATTCTTAAATCTTTGATTTAAAAAGAAAATTTTGTATAAATTTATAGCTTAAAATAATTTGCGAATTTTCGTAATTATTACGTATTTAATCAATATTTGAACTTCAAATGCTAATAAAAAAAAATGTTGACTACGTATTTTTATAATTTTTTAATCACTATATGAATAACTTATG